TCTTCAGCTCTCACTCTTCTTAATCTGCTTCTTAGCCATCAACACTGGGGTCTGGGGCGGGGGACGGGGTGCGCGGGGATGTCTTGTTCCTCCACACTCCAACCAGGACCCTCCCTCCTCACCTAGGCTGTCCAGACCAGCAGCCCTTTCTCCACCAGCCCGTTCTGCTTGCTGGGCCCTAGTCAGGCCACGGGGGTCCTGCGTCCATCTCCAGCACCAGCTCCGGCAGGCAGCACCGCCGGCCCAGCCAGGGTTCTTGGCTGCAGTTAGACTGCCACCTGGTGGCCAGAATGTTCATTGCGCTTCTCAGCCCAGCTCGTTGCCCGCCACCCAGTGTCCCTCAGATATCACCTCCTGAGCAACCCCGCCGCCCCGCCCCCAACCCCGGTTCAGATGAGGAAGAGCTTGCCAGTCAAAGGATCTGCCCAGGAACCTACATCGTAGGCCCAGTCTGCGAATCCCTGTCATGGAAGAGACAAGAGAAGTGATAGGAATTTGAGGCTCCAGTTGAAACTAAAAGGGAACAAGTGGTGAACGTGGCAGTCATTGTGAAACCTCTAGGCGAGGGATGGACAGTTCACAGAGTAAGCTGCTTCTGCCCACTGCCAATACCGTACACTCACTGCTGACACTAATGGCTAACTAACCACCAACTAACATTAACACTAACTACTCACTGCTAACCAACCACTAACACTAATCACTAATGAACCACCAACACTAACTACGCACTAACTACCACTAACTCCTTACTGCTAACTAACCAGTAACACTAACCACTAAATAACATTAAAAACACTAACAGCTAGCTGCTAAACTAACTGGTAACTAATCACTAACACTAACCACTAACATTGACTAATGCTAACCACTCACTACTAACCACTAACATCACTAATGAACAACTAACACACTAACCACTGGCCACTAACTACCACTAACCACTAACTGCTAACTAACCAGTAACACTGACCACTAAACTTTAGCTAACTAGCACTAACATCTAACTGCTAACACTAACTCCTAACAAGTCACTAATACTAACCACTAATGAACTGCTAATACTAACACTAACTGCTAACTAGCCACTACCACTAACCACTACCTGCTAACTAACCAGTAACACTAACCATTAAATAGCATTAACACTAACAGCTAACTGCTAAACTAACTGGTAACTAATCACCAACACTAACCACCAACTGACATTAACTAATGCTAACCACTAACTCTACCAATTGCTAACCACTAAAATTAATCACAACTAATATTAAAGAGCACTGACCAAGCTAACTAACACTAACTACTATCACCACTATGCTAACACCATTACTAACACTACTAACACCAGTTAAAACTCAGAGAAACAAACTTCCTTTCATACATTTTTTTTTTCACATATACCTCAAAAAGACAAAAATTTAAACTCCTAGACCTTCAGAATAAATTATCCTAACGTGGAAGAATGTTTGAACCAATGCAATGCACATGACAAGACAAAAGCTTATGCCAGCCAGGCACAGTGGCTCATGCCTGTAATTCCAGCACTTGGGAGACCAAGGCAGAAGGATTGCTTGAGCCCCAGGAATTTGAGACCAGATTGGGCAATATACTGAGACCCTGTCTCTACAAAAACATCTTAAAATTAGCCAGTATGGTGGTGCATGCCTGTTGTTTCAGCTACTTGGGAAGGCTGAGGCGGGAGGATCACTTGAGCCCAGAAGGTTGAGGCAGCGGTGAGCTGCGATCGCTTTACCGCACTCCAGCCTGGCCTACAGGTGAGACCCTGTCTCAGAAAATAATAACAATGCAGAAAAACCGTAACATTTATATTGTTTGTGCGAGAATTCTCTAGACCAATTTTCTGGGAGGCAATTTGGCAACAGGTACTAAAAGACTTATGTGCATTGCATTGGTTCAAACATTCTTCCAATTTAGGAGAATTTATTCTGAAGGTCTAGGAGTTTAAGTTTTTGTGTTTTTGAGATATACGTGAAAAAAAAATGTATGCAAGGAAGTTTATCATCACAAATACTTATTTTTTAAATCGAGAGAAAATTTCACCAATATAATACCTGCTAAATAACTATTGGTTAAATAAATAATATTATATAGACTTTTCAAATTATGTAGCAGAAAAATTGTCTGCAAGTGTTCTCCAGCAAACTCCCATTTACTCATTTTTAATAACTGCTTTATTGAGACATAATTCACATACTATGACATTCACCCTTTTTAAAAAGTGTATGATTCAGTGGTTTTCGTGTATTCCCAGAGTTTGCAACCATCATTACTATCTAATTTTAGAACTTTTCATTACCTCAAACAGAAAAAATGGAGCTAACATCCCATCATATGGATATTCCACATTTTGTTAATTCATTCATAAGTTGATGGATGTTTAGGTTGTTTCTACTTCTTGGCTACTATGAATAATGATGTTATGAATATTCATGTACAAGTTTTGTGTAGGCATACATTTTCAATTCCCTTGCCTATACACCTTGGAGTGGATTTTCTGAATAATTCAGTGTTTGACTTTGTGAGCAACTGTGCAACTTTTTACCAAAGCACCTGACAATTCTCTGGTCCCACCAGCAATACATGAGGGTTCCAATTTCTATACATTCTTGCCAATATTTGTTATTGGCTATTTTGTTTTCTTTTTAGCCATCCTCATGGACATGAAACAATATTGCATTGTGGTTTTGATTTACATTTTCCTAATGACTAATGATATTGAACATCTTTTCATGTGCTTGTTGGCCATCTATATATAATATATATTGTTTTAATGCATAAAAATCATATGCAATTTTACAAATATAATATGATCTCTAGATGTTTCCAAAACACACAAAAAAAATCTTTCTGGAAACGTACAAAATGTACCAAAAGAATGTCTTGGTAATAAGATTATGATTGATTTTTTTTTTTTAAATCCTTCTGTATCTCCTAAATGCCTGCAATGAGTATGAATTACTTTTATGATTTGACACTGAATATGATTGGTTTACAGACTGGGCCCGCACTTTGACATTTGTCTGTCCAGGAAGGTGCCAGGCAGCTGGGCGTCATGGGCAACAGTGTGGCCTTGGGCTTCATGTAGCTGTGTCTCCATTCCCTGGAACTCTCACGACTGTAAGGGAGGAGGATGTCCGTCCACTGCCTCCACCAGATACACACTTGTGAGCCAGCACAGGTAAAGGATGCCTACTCCTTCTGTTCCCAGTGCATGAGAAAACATACCTGGTTCAGGCAGGCCATAGAGGACAAGCTAGATCCTCCGTGCAGAGGAGAGGGCCCCCATGCAGGGGATCACAGAGAAGGGAGGCGCCCAGGCAAGGACCGGGACAAGGCAAATGGCACCTGGTGATCAGCCCAAGTAGGCAGAGGCTGGAGGGGATGGTTTGGACTCTCAGGGTAATCGGAGAAAGGAGGAATGGCCGGAAAGGCTAGTGTAGTAAGGGAAGGCTGCCTGGAAGTGGGGGAAATGGAACTGAGGTCTGCAGGACAGGTCTGTTGTGGGTAGACCAGGAAGGGAGAGGTTTCATTCTGACCTGACAGTGTCCATTTCTGCCTGTTCTCCGTACTAGAATCTCCCTCTACCACTGTCAGTCAATAAACAGATCCCCATGGACACAGCCCGGGTCTCCTTCTCCTCCCTGCTGCCAAGAAGGAGGTTGGAGGAGGGACAGACTCTATAGATGTGTTACATTAAGGGAGTCCTCACTTTGGTGGGGGGCAGCAGGCAGTACGCTGGGACCCAGGAGGGCACGCAATGGGGAGGACATAAGAGAAAGACCTAGAGTTGAGGCATCTCCACTCCAGAGCAAAATAGGGAAAGAGACTCAAGCAATTTCCAGAGGAAGAAACCCAAAAGGCAAGCGGGTACAGTAAGAGATATTTACACCCATTAGATATCAGGGAGATGCAAATTAGGACAACAGTGCCATGGCACTTTACACCCATTTGGCTGGTGAACATTACAAAGCTGGGTAATGCCAAGTGTTGGTGGGGCTGTGGAACTTAGGGACCTCAAGAGCTGCTGGTGGAGTGCAGATCTGAAGCATGCAATCTGGCACCACTGAATCACATCAACAGGAAGCATAATGGATGCCCAGCACTGCTCCTCCTGGGTGTGAGTCCCGGACAGAGGCTCACTCTCACAGATCCTGGAGGGGATCAGCATGTGCATGTTCACTAGAGTGCAGGGGAGATAGGACAGGACAGTGGCCCATGGTCAATGACTCTACACAGCACCACATACAGCCAAAACAACAGACCAGATGTACGCAGGGAAACACGGGAGCGTCTCTTTTTTTTTTTTTTTTTTTTTAAGATGGAGTTTTGCTCTTGTCACCCAGGCTAGAGTGCAAGGGCGTGATCTCGGCTCACTGCAACCTCTGTCTCCTGGGTTCAAGTGATTATCCTGCCTCAGCCTCCCAAGTAGCTGGGACTACAGGCGTCCATCACCACACCCAGCTAATTTTTTGCATTTTTAGTAGAGACAGTGTTTCGCTATGTTGGCCATGCTGGTCTCGAACTCCTGACCTCAGGTGATCTGCCCTCCTCAGCCTCACAAAGTGCTGGGATTACAGGCATGAGCCACCGCACCCAGCCCTGGGAGCATCTCTTAAAAGCACAGTGCTGAGGGGGAAACGTTAGAAGCAGGATGAGGCATATGACCAACAGCATTTATGTAAATTAAAGTACAGACACACAAAACACCACGTATTTTGCAAGACACACAGAAACACAAGTATTCACATTAAGCATGCTCGCTTGTTTGCCTGTGAGAGGAGGCGAATGGGAGTGGTGAAGACAAAAGAGAGTACATTTTAAGAATAAATAAAACAAGAGGCCCCTTGCACAGATACATAATCATAATGTAGCATGAACTGCGGAATGATGAACACAGCTCAGCACCAGACATCCAAATAAAGAACGCAGGTGCTCTCCCCTTTAGAGGCCCATTTACTCACTCAAACATATGTCTATTCATTTACAGGTTTATTGGCTCCTCTGAGGCTTGGGCTAGAGCCCCAGGCCCCAGGAAAAGGAATGGATGAGAGCAGACACAGAGGGACCACAGAAGTCAGAAGTAAACATACAGGAACCTCAAAAGAGAGTCAGATGCAGAGACAGGGAGGAAGGGCCGCCCCTACCCCGGGCTGGGTAACAGCTGGGGTGGGGATATGGCTCCCTTGCTCTGCCAGAGCATGGCAGACCCATGGGGTAGCTGCCCAAGTTCAAGTGTGGACTCCAGTGGCATGATGAGGCAGCTTAGCACATAGATGTCAGCACCTTTGCCGCCGAGCGAGAAGGCGTGGTCCACTTAGCACGGGTCCTCCAGGCTGGCAGAAGCTCAGGGTCATGGCCATGCCACTTCCGTGAGATCTCAGTCCTCACCTCCAGGGACAAGGAAGAGGATGTTAGGAAGGTCCCCCTGTGGCTTTGCTACTCAGTCCCAATGAGACTAAGGTGCAGGGAGAGGCCGTATAAGAGAAACAGAGACATGGGGCAGGAAAAGTCATGCTTGGGCACAGGCACTACTAAGTACTACCTCTGGAGGATACTACTTCCTCCTTCCTGTGGTATTTCTCACCATTCTTTTAGCTCCCTTCTCTGCCTTTTAGCCCTGCCTTTGTCTGAGCCCAGCTAAAGACATGTATAGGTGCTTTCTTGAATTCCTGGTCAAATAACCACCCTGTTCTCTCTTAATCACTTAGACCACTCCTTGCTCTGGGGCTCAATTTTGTGAGCTCAACTCTGGCCGCTGGAAATCTGTCCAGAGGACACGATCTGAAGGGAGAGAGGATTCAGAACTCTATCTGAGGGGTTGCAGCTGAGGGAACTGAAAGTCACTAAAAGAAAAGTAGCCTGGGGTGAGGTGGAAGGGAGGGATTGGGGGGTGGGGGTGCTGTCTGTATCTTTCCATCTCCAAGGGGCTTTCAGGGGCATAGGGTGCTGAGAGAATGTGCCTCAAGCAGTGGAGCCGAACTGGGGTTGTAATGAAAGATAAAAGGAATCAGATACCTGTTCAGCATAAAGATAATCTTTCCCATAGCTGCCTGACAACAGAAAGAGCTATTGGGAAGTAGTAAGCTTCCCGTCACCAGAGGTATGTAACCACCTGGTCTCCAACACCGCTTCCCGAGACAGCTCCCTTCACAACTCTTTGTGGAAACACTTTTTCCACACCCCACCAGCCTCCACCTGGGCTGCTTCTTGCCCCTCCCAGGACCCCCAGGGCCCATGGGCTGCTACACCCAGACACCAGATAAGGCTGAATGGGACTTAGAGAGGCCAGGTGAGGAGTAAAGAGAGGGAGAGGGGAAGGAGCAGTAAGGGACAGAGGTGGCAGATGAGATGGGAGCAACACTCCACAGCGAAGGGGACAGGGCATCTGCAGCCAACTCTCACAGAATGCAGAGCACCTGGCAAATCCATGGCCAGCAGAGGGAGCCCATGGCCCTGCAGGTGCACGAAGGTGGAACTTGGGAGTCTGGGGCATTGAGATCAATTCTCCCCCGCCTCTCTCCCAGAGCAGGACTGTCCTAAGGGGGAAATTCAGTGTCTCCTGGGTGGAATTCACTTTGCGTCAGTCTCTGCCATGTCCCCACGTTTCCACATGTGCAGGCAGCACCATCTGTTCTGTCTTTTCACGCCTATCTCCCCTTCCATCCACTCTCTTTGTGTGTCTGTTTCCTTTAGGTGCTCTCTGTTTCTTGGGCTCCGGATCTTCCTCTTTGTCTCTGCATCTGATTATTTTCCTAGTTCCCTGTATGTTTACCTCTGACTTTCTTGATTCCTCTATCTGTTCTCTCTGATTGTCTCTCCCTCAGCTGAAATTGAACAACTCTCCCTTTTGTTCAATTTTAGGAACACATAACTGGGGGATTCCTTCTGACTCCCTACCCTAATCCTTCTCCTGATCCCTGAAAGGCCTCCTCCACCTCCCGAAGAGTAGCTAGTAGAACTTGGCCCAGCTCAGAGGAAGGATAGATAAGAGATGTTTACAGGAAATATTCCGGTTCAGCTTGATCCAGAAGCTCAGGACAGACTACCACAAAGGCTCACAGGAGTCAAGGTGTGGCCTGAGCTGGGGTTTACAGGACCTGAGTGGGAGAGAGGAGGGGAGGCCTTAGGTCTGGTGGGAGGGGGACTCCATGAGGGATAGCCTCAAAAGTCACACACCTCTTGGTTGAGGAAGCAGTAGAGGATGGCCACGATGAAGCCCTGTGGGGCAAAGAAGAAAGACCCTATCAGAACACTTTGACCTGGCCTGAAGGTGTCCACAGTCTTTCTGCTACCTTTTCCCTACTCATCCCCAGGCTATGGCTTGGGCCAGGTCTGATTGAAAGGGGAATTTAGATGCATTCATTCCTTACTATGTGCCAGGCATATTGTCTCATAGAATTGTTGTAGCAAGCCTGCCAGGGCTGTACTGTTGGCCCCATTCCTCTGACTTTATTTCTGCATCCCTTGTGAATGAGCACAACACTTGGCACATAATAGGGGATCAGTAAGAGTCGAATAGATTGGATGGATGGATGGATGGATGGATGGATGGATGGATGGATGGATCGGTGGTGGGTGGGTGGATGGATGGATTGGTGGGTGGGTGGGTAGGTGAGTGGGTGGGTGGGTGGATGCATGGATGGATGCATGGATGGATGGATGGATGGATGGATGGATGGATGGATGGATGGATGGATGGATGGATGGATGGATGGATTGGTGGGTAAATGGATGCATGGATGGATGGATGGATGGATGGATGGATGAATGGATGGAAGAATGCATGGGTAGTTGAATGCATAGATAGATGGGTGGCTGGAAGATGGACAGACAGACAGATATTTGAATAGATGGATGAAAAAGAATAGCCGTCACCCTGTCATGAACTCAGCCAAGGCCCGTGGGCAACAGCACCTCCCTCCAGCACCCCCAGTTGAAAGAAAGAGTGCCTGCAGAGGCCTCACCTGGAAGGAACCCAGTCCCAGCTCCAGGGGGAGGCGGATGCCCAGGCCAGCATTGTCTGGCAGGAAGTTGAAGATGATGTAGTGAATTCCAAAGAGTGGGATCAAGAAAAGTGTCGACTTGGAGAGACGCCTGCAGGAAAGACAAATCCGAGGCTCCCAAGGCTGGGATTAGAAACCGTCATGTGCACTTCATCTCCTCTCACTTCCTACCACTTCCCTATATCCACTCTGTGAACCAGCCACCTTGGGAAATGCCACCTCCCCACAATCACCCTGGGCTGTTTTTTTATTTCTGGGCCCTGGATCCTGCTGGTTCCCCTGCCAACTGTTCTTGCCCCAGTTTATCCCAAAGTCTATGCATCTTTCAAAGTGTGGATCAAAACCACTTCCTCCAGGAAGTCTTCCTTGACCACACCACCCTTCACCTAGAAAGGCTCCCTCTCCCCAGGCTCCCATAGAAATTGACCCCAGCACTCATCGTTCTATTTGGCATGGGAACTGGCTGTTTGGAGTCCTCATCCTTCCAATAATGTGATCCCCTAGAAGGAAGGGGCCAGGTCTATTCTGTCTCTGGGAACATAGGGAAGAGTATGGGGCTGAGGTCATGAATGCCTGTTGGAAGAGACAGAACCACCACATCGAATCCCTCTCCAGTTACCCTTTCCCAGTGTCCCCAGACATGAACACACAGTACCAATACTGAGACTGGGTATGGAGGCTGCCCTGAACTGGCTCCAGTTTCCTCACCAGGATGCGGATAATATTGAGAAAAAGCCCAAAGTTCACCTGGAAATAGAGGCATAGGAAGGTGGAAGACAAGGGTCAGGGGGTAGCCTTGGGTGGCTGGGGTGAGCCCTAGCCCATTTGGGAACTAGAAAATTTAAATCCTTGAGACGTGAGAATGTGCAGGTGAATGAATGCACAGATCATTGCTCCAGAATTTGTAGCCTGGAGCTGGGAGGTCCCACATTTGAGCCTTGGAGGGCAGAGAAGGACCCAGGATTCCTGTCCCTCTCCAGTCCTGGGATCAAGGGGGGCGATCAGGCCTCGCCACCTGCCTCCAGCCACCTCCCAGGCTCTTCTCTAGCACAAAGCAGATGTCCCTCACTTTGCACAGTTGCTAAGTTGCAAAACATTTGTACATTTACCAAAGCCATGCAAAGCAGTCTTCACTGCCTCTGTGTTGTGTGTGAGAGCAGAGGGAGGAGAGGAGTGTAGCTGCAGACTCCATTTACTGCCCCCACCCCGCACCCCCAGTCTCACTGCAGTGGTAAATGATCTGTACCCAGTGCATTACACTCATCAAAATTGAGCTGGAACAGCCTGCATGCTGATAGACACCACCACCCCTCTGGTTTTACTAACAGGATGCTGAGGCCCCGAGAGGGCCTCACAGAGAATCAGTGGCAGAGCGAGGCTGGAGCCCAGTCTTCAAGACACCCAGCCTGGAGTTGCATTTCCTGCTGTGCACAGCCCCTCGGTAGTTCCAGGGAGGTTGACTGAATAAAGCGAAGGACACTGGCCCAGGGACTGACCCCGACTGAGAGAATGATGGGCCCTTTGATGATCCACCAGTAGGGGGAGCTGTTGTCCAGGTCCCAGCACCTGGGGAGAGAGGCAAGAATGCCATTGTTGGAAAGTCCCCTTTACTGTGGTGACGCAGGCACCTCCATCCTCTCTTGGGTATTCATGCCTTCTGGTCTCACCCACCTCCCCTCCAGCCTTTTCTCCTGTCTCAGCCAGTTAGGGTCTCACCCAAAGGGGCACCCCCGTCCAGGCTGGGCTCACCCTTCATATCCACCTAGATGGACAAACGTTTCTGAACTCTGCCTGTTCAAGGCCTCCTTGCTGGCCCCAACACGTCCCTTTCTCCAGGAAGCCCCCTGGCAGCTCCCTCGCCCCACCTTCCCCCAGCCCCACAGCGCTAGGAATCTGAGCTCCACTCTCCTGCCAGGCTCATGCCTCTTCTGTGCTACCCACAGACTGTTCTCCCACCCCCCAACCTAGCCGAGCAGTCCCTCCTCCTCCTCTTCCCAGCCTGGAGAATAGCCTGTGGCCTGACTGTCCACTCCACACCCCATGTAGGCCCAGCCGGTATGATGAGGTGGCCGCTCCGACTCACGCAGTGTCCTCGAAGGCCAGTTTGCAGCCCACCCACGTGCCAGTGAAGAGCACGGGCAGACCTATGGGAGGACAGGGGAGACACAAGCGAGGGGGTCTGAATCTTTGGCTCTGAGCTCTGGCCCCACCTCCCACCACCATCAGCCAGGTAGGGCACTGCAAAGGCAGGGCCGGACAGGACCCTAGAGCCAGGGCCCTGGTGCCACCTCCAACACTTGCTGCCAGACTGTGGCCTGTCCCTCCGCTTCTCTGGGCCTCAGAGTGAGGTGGAGGGGCCTTTACATGAACTCCCTGGGCCTTCCCAGAACTTTACCTCCCCATGGTGCCCGAACCGCCCTCAGTGCTCACCCCAGCCAGCGAGAACCAGCCACCAGAAGGCTCTCCTTGAGCTGGGGGAGGTGGAGGCCAGGAGGCAGGTCAGGTAGACAGCTTCTGCCAACAGCCAGCTGAAGTTGGTCATGGTGGCAAAATGAGAGGCAGCCACAGAGACCTTGCATAGAACCTGGAGGCCGGGACCTGGGTGCTTCAGAGCTGGGACACCCACTGGAGCCCCCACCCCAGTCTCCCCTACCCCACTCAGATACAGAACCTCCAGGCCCCTCCACCTTAGGCTGGGACCTCCAGCTTCTTGGGCCACCCGAGAGGAGATGTGGTGATATACACTGAGGGTTAAGAGCATAGATTTGGGATCTAGACAGCCTGGCTTCTAATTTGCCATCTATTTCCTGCGCAAATCTCCTCATACCTTAGCTTTTCATCTGTAAAAGGAAAAACTTCCAATACCTAGCTCAAGTCCTTGTCATAAGGATTAAATGGAAACTGCCTAAGACTTGCTTCTCTTTTCACTTACCCCCATCCTTCCTGAGCTGAAGTCAATCCCTAGAGCTGACTTATTCAGCCACAGTTCTGTCTCGCAAAAAACACACACAGGCACCCGTGCATTCACTCACTCACTGCATGACTTGATCACCTGCCAGTGGGGGAGCAGGACCACCTCTGAGTTCCGTTGGCCCAGGTTTGATCCCAGCCCCACCTGTGTGCCACTGGGTGACCTTGCCAGTTGCCTCTCCTCTACAAAATGGGATTAAAATGATGCTTTCTTCTTCAAGCTGTTTTAAAAACTCAAGAGATAATGCCAGCTGATTCTTGAACAATAAAGGTGTGAACTGCTGAAGTCCATTTACACATAGATTTTCTTCCATCTCTGTCACCCCTAAGACAGCAAGACCAACTTCTCTTCCTCCTGCCCCTCAGACTACTCAACATAAAGACGATGAGGATGAAGACCTCCGTGATGATCCACTTCCATTTAAAAACAGTAAATTTATTTTCCCTTCTTTACGATTTTCTTAAAAATTTTGCTCTAGCTTACTTTATTGTAAGAATACAGTATATAACACATGTAACAGATAAGTATGTGTTAATCGGTCATTTATGTTTTTGGTAAGGCTTCAGGTCAACAGTAGGCAATCAGTTAAGTTTGGGGGAGTCAAGAGTTATACTTGAATTTTCAACTGAAAGGGGGACCAACACCACTAACCCCACGTTGTTCAAAGGATAACTATACATGTAAAGCACTTAGTGCAATGCCTGGCACAAAATAAGTGCTCAGTATGAAGTATGATTAATTCTTTCATCAGTTAATTGAGGTCATGTGTTAGTTTGCTCGCTGATTTCGCTGTTCATTTCCAGCACACTTGTAGAGAACCCAGCAGTTGCTGGGTCTCCACATTCTGCCCAACTTCCCTTTAATTTCAGTTGCCTCTTATTGTCTCCACTCCACCTCTCCCATGGTGACTTCCCAGTTTCTTGCACATGGCCTAGGTCCTTCTGTCTTTGCGAGTTTGTTCACCCTGGTCCCTCCTCTTGAAATGTTCTCCTTCCCCATCTCGCTATCGTTGCTGCCAACACAGCTCCAGGGTCCCTTCCTCCCTGAAGCCCTCTCTCATTCTCTCCTAGCTCTCAGCTTCCTCCACTTGGGAGTCCCCTAATCTGTGTGCATTCTGCCCCATGGGCTCTTCCTGAAGGAGGGACCCAGCTCCTCCCAGCCCCTTGCATACACACCCCCAGCACAGACCAATGAGTGCTCAGGGAGGGATGAAAGGAAAGGAAAAGGCTGTGCATAGTGAAACATGGTCTAGGTTGGACTACAGAATGCGGAGTAGAGCATGCAATATAGGAAATGACATGGATCGACACCACAGTCCAGGAAAGGCGTGAGAACTTAGGGCCTGACATGGGAGAGGAGCATTTTCCTGTTCTGTAATTGGCCATGCAGGAGCTCCAGGGTCAGCCCACAGGGCAGGAAAGGCTGGGGCAGGCACTTCTGGGTCTGTAATCCCACCTCCTCTCTCCCCTACCCACCCAGCCCCTTCACCCACGGCCATTACAGTAGAGAAGCTGCAGTAGTCAGTGTCGTCGCTGTGGAAAAGGGCAGCATCCTTCAGGAACACAGCACCCGCCTTGAGGATAAAAGTGACGAACAGCTGGGTGTGGACGTAGTTCCGGGGGCAGTGGAGCCTCCTGGGGGGAATGGGAGAAATGAGGAACAAGAAGCAAGTGGGGGAGGGGATTCTGGTGTGCTGCAACTGGGCTGAGCAGGGCAGGAGGTGAATCAAATCAAATTGGATGCAATCAAACTGAATTGAATTGAGCTGAACTTGAGGCTTCAGTTTAACCCTTGCAGGACAGCTGAGCAACCATTCCTGTGCTCAGGGTAAGTGTGGAAACAGAGGAATATCTGGTCCCTGCCTTGAGGGTGCTCATAGTCTCAGGGAAAAGAGGCAGAAATGGCAGGTACCACCCATGGGAGCCCCCTGGATGATCAGAGACACTCATCCCCATGCGACCAAGATTAGCACAGGCCAGATGCCGTGCTCAGACTTTGAAGGCTAGAGGAGGGGGTGGGGTCTTAAAAGGGACAATGGTCAGAGAGTTGTAACAGTCAAGAGGGGCTCCGGGCAGGAGGCAGAGGACTGTTAGATGCAGATAGAAGCCCGGCTTTCTCAGATATAAATACACTGAGAAAAATGAGGAATTCCAAGCAAATAGAATGAGTGCCACATAAGCAAAGGGGCAGAGATAGGAGTGAGTTCTGGTATTGGAAGAGATGGGTCTACATGGTGGGGAAAAGGGAAGGGAAAGTTAGACATGGGTATGGTGCCTAGATCTGGGAAGTTCATGGCTATGCAGGCAAGGAAGCAGACTTGGCCCTCTGGGAAATAGGGAGCCAAGGAAGGTTCTTGAGCTGGTGATGAGGATGGCAAACCTGAGAGCAACCAGGATGGTGATGGCCACGAAGAGGGCTACAATGGAGATGCTATGGCCCATGGTGTAGATAATCTTCACTGTGGAGAAGTAAGATTCCTGGGAAGGGCAGAGACAGAAGTAAGTCTCAGCTTCAGGGCCTTTGGGGGAAAGAGAGGCCTGGCAATCAAGCAGGTGAAGCCTTTGCCATTCCACCCCAACATTGCCCATCTGGAGGCAGAGGTGTCCGCAGGTACCATGGAAAGCTCCCCCTATGCACTAGAGCTTTCGTTTCCAGCCTGCCTTCCACCTGACCTGCGGGTGAGGGAGGAGCAGTGGCGAGGAGTGGAGACGCTTAACACTCATGATGCTCTGGGGGTGGGGAGAGGCAGCCGCAGAAACTACAGGTCCCTGGGGAATGACAAAAGCGCCAGAGGAAATCAGCTTGTTTGTTGACATCCAGCTTGCTCACCAGCTTAAGAACACAACGTCCCCAAATAAAGGAGACAGCCAGGGACACCTGGGGACAGCCACAGGCAGGCAGGCTAAAGGTTCCCATGGCCAAGTGTTTGGATCAGTCAGAGTGCAGCCGGGCCCTGAAGATAGAGGGTGCAGGCAAGGGAAGGGAGCAGGGGCCCGGGCACTGGCCCCAATCCCAGCTCTCCTGTGGGGTCCAGGCAATCACTGCCTGTCCCTGACTCAGTCTTTCCATCTGAAAAATGCTTACAGAAAAATGCTTCCATCTGAAAAATGCTTATAGTCATGCTTTACCTTTTAGAGATCAAGGGGACAGAGAAACAGGATGATGGGTGTGGGAGTGCCTTGCAAAGGCCCTGCTGGATGCAGAAGTGTGGGTGTGCTCGCTGGTATTAGGAGCTCTCTGCAATCACTCTGGGCTTGAGTTTCCCTCATTTGCCCACACCACAACCATGCACACTGCTCCACAGACTGAGGGTCAGAGAAGAAAAGGAACTTCCCAGGGCTGCCAGGATCCTTGTTGCCTCTGGAACCACTTTAAGCTCCCTGCCCTGGAGACCTGGACACGGAACCAAGACAGCAGCCAGCAGATCTCCCACATGCCCTCTGCCCCGCTTCTCCCTCCAAGTAACTTGGCCCGTGGGTCACCCTTGAGTAACTTAGCAGAAGACCCCCTCTCCTCCAGACGCTTCACTGCTGTCTGCTGGAAAACCACTGTAAGGAATATTCCAACCTGCAGGCTGGGGAATGGAGGCCCCGACGTTGTGCACCCACCCATACGAATGTCCATGGCAGTCCTTCCTCCAAGATGCCGGGAGCCTCTTACCTCCTCAGCCAGCAGCTCCAGAGGCACAGGGCAGGCCACAGGGTAAGGTGGAAAGGGCTCAGACCAGCCAGTGATGGTACAATCCCGCTTCACAGTCCCTGGGAGGCAAGCAAGACTCTCTAGCCACAACCCCTTCCCTTTCCCCAGGAGGGGGCTGGGGGTGCCATGGACCATCAAGTGACCCTGGCAGGGTTTGCATGGACAGTTCCTCTCAGCAACAGAAAGGGCGGCTCCAGAGCCTACCCAGGGACACACTATGGGGCCTTCCATCTCTGGCTTCACGGGCGCCATCTCTGCACAGAGAGGATTACTCCCCTGAGGGGTGGGGAGTGGTGAGCTGGGCTGCCAGCCTCCTAAAGGCAGTAGGGGAGAAAAGAGGCCCTCGCAGTCCAGGCACCCAGGCCAGGGAGGTAAAGCAGAGCAGCGGGGTGCCCCACTCTCTCCATCCTGGGCAGTTAGTGGTGTCTTGGCAGACAGGCAGGCCTCCCCTCCTCCACCCTTGCAGCCAGCCTCCTGCTAACACTGGAGGGCACCCAGGTCCAGCACTTACAGGTGCCGCACTCTAATCTTTTCTTGCGCAGTTAATGCTTTCGTTCTCCCCAGTTCACAGCTCAGGAAGCAGAGGTCAGGATTGACTGACGGGCCCGAGGTCACCCCAGAAGAGGGGAAGTTGGTATACAAACCCAGGTCGGCCTGCTCCCCAAAGCCAGTGACGTGTCTGCCAGATTCTGCCACTTCCAGATGAAAGCACCTCCCTTTCCCACCGCCACACCCAGGACCCCTCACCTGACTCTGAGCTGAAGTGAGAGAAGAAATCAGGGCAGGGGAGGGTGACCCACTCGCCGGATCCTGCCGTCGGCCAGCACAGCAGCCCATCCCAGGTCCTGGGGCAGCCTGGATAGAGAGCCGGGAGCAGCAGAGACTCAGCCCAGCCACAGGGCTGCCCCAATAATCCGAGGGGTGATGCCAGAGGACATAAAGGAATCAGAGGAGCCACCACCTGCCTCCTAGGCCCCATACCCAGGGTGGCGTTGGTCATCTCCTCTGCTGCTTGTAGACAGGCACTCTCATCCTCTCTCAGCTGGGTGATGAAGTCACATTCTGGGTGCATGTGGCCCAATACCTGCTGGAAACAGTGAACAGGATGAGCCCAGCCAATTGAGTGCCTTTCTGGGCTCTGTGGTCCACATGACTTGAGAACAGGGACGAGTCCTGATCCATTTCTGTGCCCTAATCCTGAGCAAAGACCTGCTCGCAGTACTTTCAGGTGTGTTTGATGGATGTTCAGATACAAGGAAGGAACGAATGAAGGAAGGAATGAAGGAAGGAAGGAAGGAAGGAAGGAAGGAAAGAAGGAAGGAAGGAGGGAGGGAAGGAAGGTGTGACTGCCTAGGCAGCTGGCTGGTGGAATGGATGAGTATACAGACAGACAAATATATGGCTGGGGAGGTGGATGGATGGACGGACGGATGGATGGACGGACAGATGACTGGCTGCATGGATAGGTGCATGGTGGATGAGTGAGAGAGCTGTGTAAGGATGGATGTGTGGGGCCATGGATGTGTAGATGAAAGGATCATAGCCTTGACAGCTGAGCAACCCTGAAAGACTATAGTTTTAGGAGCTTCCCAGATCTCGTGCTACACAATGGCCATGAGAAATGATCTCTGGAAGCTGGAAACAAGTTGGGGTTTTTTTGGAAATCTTCTAGCAGTACTTCTGAAAGTGCGCATCAAGAATCAACTAGAGATCCACTGGGATGGAAGCAGGGATATGCAGAGATCTAGGGTGGATCTAGCACTTTGCATTTTAACAAGTTCTCCAGGGAACTGGGAATGAACAGCAGCAATTTCTAGCACTTCTCCCTCCCACCGCCCCAAACTGGAGGAAAACCAAAACTGCTCGCCCAGTAGGCCAGAGCCCAAACAGTTACATAGAAGGGAAGCCAAGTTTACAAAACAGACTTTCTGCACTGTGAACTGGGTATACAGCATACGCATTTTTATATAAAACACACATCCGAGTCAACCAGTGTAGACGTCTGTTCCCCCAGGCTTTCACAGGAGAGGAGTGGCTGGGGAAGGGAGAAGGGCTGGATCCTAATAGACCCTGTGCAAGCTGTGATCAGAAGCAGGACAGGGGCCGGGCGCAGTGGCTCATGCCTGTAATTCCAGCACTTTGGGAGGCCAAAGTGGGCGGATCACCTGAAGTCAGGAGTTAGACACCAGCCTGACCAACGTGGCAAAACACCATCTCTACAAAAATACAAAAATTAGCCAGGCGTGGTGACATGCTCCTGTAATCCCAGCTACTCGGGAGGCTGAGGTGGAAGAATCGCTTGAACCCAGGAGGCAGAGGTTACAGTGAGCCGAGATCGTGCCACTGCACTCCAGCCTGGGCGATAAAGTGAGACTCCGTCTCAGAAAAACAAACAAAAAGAAGCAAGACAGGTACCATGGGAGGGAGTATCCCTCTCACAGGGATTGGGGAGGTGGCATTTGAGCTGGACCTGGGGACAAAGGAGCACTTTTTAGAGCGAGACACACGCAGTGGGGAGAAGAGCATCTGGAACAGAAGAAACAGCATGTGCAAGGACAAGGGAAGTGGGAAAAGGTGTATTGGGGAAGTATCTGCTCAGGACTAATGTTTCTCTCCCCATGGCCCACCCCCC